TTTTGGAATGAAAAATTAAATTCCTTTTGAAAGTTCAGCTGAAAGGGCTATTCATTTTTTGGTGCCTCTTCAAAAGGTACTTTACCTACATTAAAGAACCTTTATTATTTTGGGGGATGAGATTTGATACTGTTATATAGTTACAAAGTATTGTCAAATAAAGTTAATGAAACAAATGAAAATATCTTTGGTCTCCCTGGCTGATGCTTCATCCATATAGAGACCTACTTATTTTTTACACAAAAATAAAAACTGGCTGTCTGGTATGGCAGAATACTGTGTCTCCAGCTCTTGAAAATGTTTCTGTGTGAAGTTTTGAGCAAACATTTTGTGTGTTTTTTGTTGAGGGATGGAAGCAGAGAAGAGGGTGGCTGTACATTTATATGTCTCACTTTGATTTCCTGAATATATTTCCTGTGATTGCATGAAAAATTGATATTTTGTACCTGTGACATCTCACAAAAAGTATTTTCTGTGTGAGTGTGTTTAGGGACACAAGTTAAATAAAATGCTGTGACTTCAGCCATAAATGAGTTTGAGTTGTAACAATTTACTGCAGACATAGTGCTATTGATATTGATATAATTGGTACATCTCTGCATACCCTGAACAGAATAGTCATAGAACACTCAGTGGCCTAGTGCCCTATGTAATCAGTTGCAATTTGACTAATGAGGGCTGAATTCGGTCTCCTAGTATGGTTACATGGTCTACATGTACAGCTGATTTTGCAAAGTTTGGGACTGTAATGCATCGATGCCCACATGTAACTGGATATTTCTATTTCACTGTGTCTCCATTAAATGCATATGTTCATAGGCATTTTATCCTCATTTAACATTATTAATATCCACTTTGATGTAAAGCTTTGTTTAATTCCTCAAGCAATACACAGTACTACTACTTTTGTAAAATTAATCATGGTTTCTTATTAATGTTTGGGAAGCTTCTCCATACCAAAGAGATTTCAAGGGCAGACAAAGGGATTTCATGCCAAAAAAAATGATTCACTTCTAAGATGTGTTTTGTCTACCAAGCACTAGAACTAAAAGTCAAATACCTCTTATGATAGCCATTCTTTGAGTCATGTGCTGGGCAAATGTGAGTTATTTACAAATTATGCAAATAACCTTTATCATTTTTAACTCTGCTTTAAAAGTAATTTAGAGAGAGTAGAATCAAAGTGACAGGACTTTTTGGAGTAACTGAAATAATTACCACGTAAATGCTCTGTATTCGATAACTAAAAATAACATGGTTGAAATAAAATTATATTTGAGAATAAAGTTTACCCTTTGTTTCAATAAGCTTTCCTATGCTATCCATTCCTGCTCCTTGTGAGTCCCCACGAGACTTGAATCCTTGCTTCTGGTCTCAGCCCTTGACCCTAGTTTTCCCAAAATAGGAACATTTAATAGGTAATTTTGCTTTCATATTGTACTTCAATAGGAATATTTGGAGAGGGGCTCACATTCTCTTGACTAACACATTCTCAACCCCCTTATATTGGTAGTAGGCCAAAAATGGGACTTGACTTGTATATTGAGTAAATGGATTTGTAACATTTGAAAGAAGACTAACAGAAAAAGTTCAGGAGCCTCCCTGTAGGCAAAGCAGTTATGTAGCTCATAATTGATTTTAATCAACATCTATATCATTTGTATTACTAAGTGACAATGAGGGCCCTTTTTATATTATTTTATCTTTAATCAAGCCAGACATTCTAAATCAATGAGATACAAAAAATGGACAAAGGTTCTGCTTTTTCAGTGAGTGTCTATACTCAGTCACCATGCCCTTTAAGGAAGACCTACTGCTACTGGTGAGACACATTATACGCTGCCATCCATTTTATGCTGTTGGATTCAAGTTTCTGCTATTTGTCTGAGATTGCATGTGTGTTTTGCATGCTGTTATGTGGACACTCTCCTGAGTGCTCTGCCAAGCCTATTATTACTGAGCCATTCAGTGTAAAGGTCCCGCACTTTTCAACAATCACCATTACAGGTGATGATAATTTGCCAGAAAGCAATCAGTTTTCCCATGTCTGATATTTCTGAGGACCAGCCCTGTATCAATTCCATGATTCGATCATTAATCACTTTTATGAAACATTGAATGCATGCTTATATGCGGCATTCTATTCTCTATAGTATATAAAAAAAACACTTTTTTACTTTTCCTACCATAAATCTACATAAGATGCTCTTATTAACATAAATATGCTCCAGCAGGTACACTCCATACAAAGAGATGCCATTCTTTTCTTACTTTTACCTTTGCTTTTAATACTTTTAGGTTTTACTTCTTCACAGCATTGGAGGGGCATCCTTGTCTCTCCTTGCTTTTTACTTATGACACATTGTGGAGTGATTTTTATTTTGCTTTAATAAGGGGCTTTGTTTCTGTTGTGTGTAGGAGGTATAGGAATGGACCAGTTTTAGGATTCTCTAGATAAATGATAGCCTGTGAATGTACAGAATGGGAGACCCTTCCCAGTCCCATATTCCTAAACTCTCATTATTTATATTTATCAACTAACTATAAGGTAGGGCTGCTTGGTTTTCCGGCTGAGATTGAGCTGCAAACTTTTAAGGATAACCTACTAAGTTAATATATTTATTTAAAAATACAGTGTCTACCTTGTGTGTGCTATTTTTTTCATTTGCAAGCCATCCCCCATATTTAGAATGGAGGAATAATACCTTCGTTATTCATATTATATATCTAAACATTAAAGATGTACTTGAATACTTAAAAAAGTCAAATGCTTGGGGAGGGGGGGTGTTAAATCAAATGCACTATACAAACCAAAGTTAACTATCTCAATAGGCACTCAGAAAAATGAGGCAGACTGATTCAATGGTTTGTGGATTTTTTCCAAGCCTGAAATAATAGATACTGGAAAAGATAACAAAATAGACTGCTTTGAAGTTTGATTGTGTATACATAGTAATTTGTGTACTAAGACTCCAACCATTATTGATGCTTATGTGATTTGTATGATAATCTCTTCATCTTATTATTTCCCCCTCCCCTCTGTTCTGTCAAAGCATGTGTCAATCATTTCAGACAAAATTTAATATAAGAGTTCAGTATCAAGGGACATCTCTGAGTGCAATCTCCTTGTGTTCACGTGGTAGATGATGTATATAGCAATCTGTGCTTTATATGTACCTTAGCATACATATTTCCTTTCATTTTCAGACTGATAATGGAATATCAAGAATATGGAGTGAGTCTAGAAATCATGCTGGTGAATGGAAGAAAGCAGAAATACACCTGGGGAAATTGAGGAATTTTGAGGTCCTATTTGAAGGCGTTCGCGCCAAAGATCTAGGAGGAGGAGCAGCAATAGATGACATTGAGTTCGAGAACTGCACCACAAGTAAGTTTCAGAAGCTTTTTTTCATTTAAATAAAAAAATAGAAATAGGATATACATAATTGCTTTTATATATGATGGTGTATCAAACATGATCTGCCAGAAGATCTATACAAAACAAATCTTCCTTGAACAAGGGGATTTTTTTGTTCTTGGTATTTTAATGGATTGTCTGCTTAAATGGGAACTTTCATACAAGTACATCTTTCTCACAGGTCATGACAAAAAGAATACATACATTGTCTCATACATTGTGACCTAGTCTATTACTTGGGTCATTTGGCTACATAGAGCAAGTACCTTGATCAGCAAGAAAGAGAACAGTAATAAGAAACAAAAATCACCCCCGCCTCCACAAGAAAGCTACTAGCATAGTGCTGACAGCAAATCCCAGAAACTCATCACTGGAGGAAAGGCCAAGAAAGTTATGAATTGTCTTTTATGTTTAAGCCATTGGATTTAAAATAAGAGCTTTCTCTGCTTCAACCCAATTTCACCTTTAGTTCAATTCACCACTGATATTATTGAGTTAGATTCTCTGATGCTATAGGTAGACATAGCTGTGATATCTTGACATTTGCCATTTACGCTCTGTGAGAATCTGGCTCGTTTTCTCACCTAATTCTAATCTATTGCAGTGGAAAGACACTGAGGTCACAAATGACTCCCAAGGTTAGGTATATATTGTCTGGGTCAGCAGGGGGAAAAAAAGAAAACTCTTGGCCTAATTTAAGGGTTGCCTCCCCCATGTATCCCTTTTCTTTCTTCCCTTTGTTGTGGCTACTCAGCTTCCTCATGGGTTTTGGAAAGGGATGTGGGAGCAGTAGGAGGTTGGTTGGCTAGGCGGAAGGATGCAGTGGAATACTGCTAGCTCCCATGTGCTTGAGGAGTGGGCTTATAAGACATCCCACCTACCTTGCTGGAATTCATTTTCTCCTCACTCCTTCCATCTGCAGATTAGAGTAGAACCAGCTCTCTGGATAATCATGCCTTTTTGAAACTGAGAATTACTTTCTTCTGTTTTTGTGCAGATTTTCGTATACACCAAGCAGGGTGGTTCTCCCTCAGCAACTGAGGGACCCAGTGAGTTTATTAGGTTGCAATGTATCCATTTTGTCATGGTTTGAATGGTGGTCACTGCAGATAATCGTTTAGTATGGGATCTAGTTTCCTGTTCAATGAAAATTGGAGTTGGATTAATAGCTGGCACAGCGAGGATACAACCCATTTTGACCTTCATATAAGAGGAGTTCAGAGATGGGTACAGAAATGATGCTGGGGCCAGATTAATGACATAAAATAGATGGTAAGGAAGCTGAACACAGCACTCCTCTAAGTCATGTGAATAGGCTTGCACTGGACAAGTTATAATCAAATGCTAACCAGATGTATTTAATTAATAAAACTTAACCTTGTTAAACCCTATTCTGTGTAAGTTCGCTAGTCTTTCTACAGTATCTTGGACAATGTACCACTTGATTTCACAGAGAAATTTAGTTTATAAACATGGCAAGGAAAAAAGGTGGAAGGAGCTTACCTTGAATTCATGGCATAAATATAATAACTTTTTATTTTCATGTAAATGTGTAACTTTTTTAAATAGGTGCATTTCAGCCAGTTCAGTTAATAGAAGCAAAATATATAATCATTTACAATTTACAATATATAGAGTTAAAGGTAAACTCTACTCTTACTGTTGTTATATTGCAATATTTGCCTTTACTATCTATAATAGCAATCTTGCATATATAAAATATGAATTTTAAGCATATAAGTATTAA